CATCATTGTTCTTTATCGTTGTATAGTACCCCATCTTGTGTATGTACCAGTTTGTTTATCCATTCATCTGTTGATGGGTATCTAGGTTGTTTCCATCTTTTTGCTATTGTGAACAATGCCGTCACGAACATGGGTGTGCATATGTCTATTCGTGTGACGGCGAAGTCCAGATTCTTACGTGAATTATTTTATTTCTAAATGTCTGCAAAAACTTAAAAAAAATTTTAAATACTCTGGGAATCAAACAGTCAAATGGTCTGCTGTGTCCCATGTGCCACACTTTGCAAATTAAGTACCAAATGCCAGTGAATTGTGAGTTTCTATTTAGTCAAACCCCTTTGCTTTCCAAATGAGGAAACAGAATTGAGTAGTTCCTTATAAGTGTATAGTGATTCATCCAAGCTTCATAGCTGGCTAAGAGATAAGAGTAATCACAACTGCTAACATCTACCACGTGCCAAATACGGTGCTCCTTACACTCAAAATCTTAATTAGGTAGGTTCTATTATTATCTTCATTTAACGAATTATTAGCAGAATCCATCAGGGTGTGCTCTTTCCCGCCAAACTGTCTTATTTAGTCATTAAAAAAGAATTCTGCTTTCTTGCTTTGCTTCGCCTGTGCCAGAGACTTGTTCTGAAGACGGCTGCAGAAAAATAACAAAGTAGAAAATATAAAATATGAGTTGAAAATAAAGTAGAACTAGTTCCACAAAAAAAAAGAAAAGAAAGAACTAAGGCCATGGAAGGCACTGTGCTGGGTGCAGAACTGTTACGTGCATGAGTAAGTTCCGTGGGACGAGTTTTCTCCCGGCTGGTGAGAATTCAGTGTTTCTTCTATTGTAATTTGTATTTTTCCGTACGCTTTTAGAGTGAGAGAAAGGAAAGGCGAGCGGGAAGAGAGGTGAGCGGAGGACGTGTACCTACGAAGGGAGAAAAAGAGAGAGAACGAGTATTCTAGACACAAAAACGCGCAGCGAGAGTGCAGAAACCCCCACCCAGCCGAACCCACGCCCACACCAAGAGTCAGCTGTCCGCACCGCCCGCCGGGATCACGTGACGCGGCCAAAATGGCTGACCGGGAAGACGGCTGCCCGGCGGGGCGGGGGCCGGAGCAGGGGCACGAGCCAGGGCTGGAGTCGGGGGAAGAGTTTGAGATCGTGGACCGGAGCCAGCTGCCGAGCCCAGGCGAGCTGAAGAGCGCGGCGCAGCCGCGGGCGCCGGCGGAGGGCTGGTCCTCGCCCATCCTGACCCTAGCGCGAAGGGCCACAGGGAACCTGTCGGCGAGCTGCGGGAGCGCGCTGCGCGCGGCAGCTGGGCGCGGAGTCGGGGACGGCGTCGGGGACGGTGCGGCGCGAGCAGGTAGGCTTAGGTCAAGTAGGCTCTGGGTGGGCGGGCATCTTGGTCCCGCAACCGGCGGCCTGCTTTCTGTGGGTAACAGGTGGCACATTTCGCGGTGAGAGGATGTTTAACCTACTTAGTTAATTAGACGACTTGTTTAAAAAAAAACCTGTTAACTCGCACAACTACCCGTCTGTCTGCTTTATACCGTGCAGCCAAACCAAGCTAAATACTTGGGATGGAATGGTCTAAGATTGGGACAGCTACCATATGGAACCCCTCACTTCAAATTGTTTCCCAGAACAACGTCATTTTTCTCATTTTAAGAAAATTTAAGAATTTAGATAATCTGTATTGATAATAATAAACCTTAGGAAATGAAACCAGTACTGTCCCTGCTTTAAAATCTCACAACGCGAGCCCGTCACACACTCCCTCCAGTGTTAACAGCGCATCCCGGACTCAAAGAGAAAGAGCACCAAATTCCAAGTCAGAAGGTTTTGATTCCAGCCTTGCTCTGCCACTAACTGGCTGAGTGATGTGGACAGGTCACCACCCCTGCCAGTCACATTACCCAGCCTGTAAAATGGGATTTCTTGATTCACCCAATGATCTCTTAAAGTCTTCCTCAGTCTTGTAATCTAGAATAGGGTTTCAGCATATCAATGAAAAGAAAAATTATATACCTTGGAAACATTAAATAATTATGATACTAAGATTCTGACTTAGAAAGCTCTATGAAGAAAATATTTAGAGCTCTGCCCTCCTGTATAGTAGCCACTAGCCACATGTGATTCTTTTGAATTAAAGGTTAATAAAAATTCCATTTCTCATTCACATTTCAGGTGCTCAGTAGCCACACGTGGCTAGTGGCTCCTGTACTGAACAGTGCAGTCTAGAACACTGTAAGAAGCATTATAGTGTACCTTTGAGGTTTATTGATTCCCTCTCCTATGCTGGTAAATTTACTATAGATGTCAGCACTGGCACCAGAATAGTGAATTGTGAGATCTTCAGTGGCCAGGAAGGATTAATAAGTAGAGAAAAATTTAAAAACTGGCTCGTCTGGAGATTCTGGCAATAGAAATAAGACTAAAAAGTAATGACGGAGCCTGTCCAGCCCAGGAATCTAGTTCCCACTAGTTTGTCACCTTTTCCAGAAACTTTTCCACACATCAGTGGATGTTTAATTGTATACCCATCTGACGGTCCTCCAGGTCCAAGCTTGGCATCTTTTCGAGGCCTCTTAGATAGTTCAAGGCACATAATAAGCAAATAATAGTAGCTGTTCATTGACAAATAAAATGTGCCAATGTCTAGAATAGTGCCTAGGACATAACCATAAATATCTGTTGAACAATGCAGATTGAAAAATACTCATTTTCCATTTATGATACAATAGTCACCACTTCTGTTGCGCTTACTAGGTGCAGGCATTAGTGTAAGATCTGTGAATGTATTTTCATTTAATTCTCACAGTAACTATCATGGATTGAATAGTGTCCCCTAAAAATGTGTATCAACTTGGCTAGGCCATGATTCCTAGTATTATGTGGTTGTCCTCCATTTTATGATGTTTTGATTTTCCTATGTGCTGTAAATCCTAATCTCTGCCTGTGGTTAATGAGGCAGGATTAGGTCATGTTAAAGAGGATTAAAGTGGCATGCAACACCCTTACTCCAGGTCACAGCCCTGATCTGATGTAAGGGGAGTTTTCTCTGGGGTGTGGTCTGCATCACCTCTTATCTTCTAAGAGATAAAAGGAGAAAGAAGCAAGCATAGAAATAGGGACCTCATTACCACCAAGCAAGAAGAGCCAGGAGCAGAGCATGTCCTTTGGACCTGGGGACCCAGCCCTGAGAAGCTCCTGGACCAGGGGAAGACTGATAACAAGGACCTTCTTCCAGGGCCGACAGAGAGAGAAAGCCTTCCCCTGGAGGTGGTGCCCTGAATTTACTAAACTATGAGAGAATAAACTTCTGTTTGTTAAAGCCATCCACGTGTGGTATTTTGTTATAGCAGCACTGAGTAACTAAGACAGTAACCCTGTGTGACAGCAGGGCCAGTTTCAATGACGTATAGTCCCATAGGGCTCAGCACTCAGAAGGGTTTCACTCTTATAATACTTGGTAATTTTACCTTTGAATTTGTGTTTTATAAGTGAACCATTTATGTTATGTTTTATAAGTGTCTGACTGAACAGTAGGACAAAGGAGCATGTGCAGGAGTCTTGGAGCCTGGGATCATGCATGGTCTCACCTCCCGCTGCCTCCCCAGGGCAGGTTCTCAGCCATCTGTTCCCCCTCCCCTGGCACACCTCTCCCTCTCCCTGTCCTCACCCCAGGACCACTACAGGCCTGAGGAGAGGTGGAGTTCAAGCCCTGCAGTCTCAGGACAGTGTCACTGCATGGAAGTTGCAATCCCTTAGATCCATGAGAAGTGGAAATTAACTTTACTGCCTCTAGGGAGGCCCCACATTTTGCACTGGATCTCACGAATTATGTAGCCAGCCCTGTGTGATAGTAACATTGTTATCCCCATTTAATGAAAAAGGAAACTAAATTAAAGAGAATTTGAGGAAGTTACTTGTAAGTGGCAGAGCCAGAACTTGAACCAAGGCAGTCTGCCTCTTAAGCCCATGCTCTTTATCACAACACCTTGCTGCTTCCCCCTTTAAAATAACTTTATAAATAAAATGTTTGTGATGTCACTGAATTTACATGTAAAAAATGTCAAAGTGGCAAATGTTTTGTTACATATATAGTTACTACAGTAAAAAAAAAGTCATATACCACATGGATTTTTTTTTAATTAGTCAATTTAAAGAAAATATTAACTAAATAATTACAACACAGATTTGGCAAAATTGTGCACATCGTTTACAGAGGACTGAAATGTGAAAAACTGCTGGGATGAGCTGTGTGCTAGTCCCCCAGCTGAACAGGATTTGAAGCCAACAGATAGGACAGGAGTTGGGGTGGGAAAAAGGAAATGGACTCTGAGTAAGGCAAGTCAGGAGAAGACAGGGGCCACCACTTCGCCAGGGCTGGGGCCAGCTCATTTATCTCTTTTCCCACAGTGTCCCAAAGCCATTTATCTGCTCACACAAACAATAAGGACAGATACAGTCATGGGAGGCAGAGAGATTTTCCAGAGGGAGCAGAGAGATTGAATGTGAGCAGCACTCTTGCTGGGAAAAACTTTTTTGGTGATAAAGCTTGAAAGAAATGTTGTGGAGTGCTTTGTTTTAAAATGTCATCCCACATGGGGGCTGGTAGCACAGAGTGATTTTGTTGTCTGTAGTTGTCTTCTTTCCCCATGCCTCAGAGGTAATAAATGCACGTGGTAAAAAAGAGAGAGAAATCAAACCATGCAAAAGAACAATCAGTGTATAGCAAGTCCTCCTCCCCAGAAACTATCACCAGTACTACTGTATCTTTCAGAGGTAAGTCAATGCATATATATAGCATGTTTTTCTCTCTCCACACTTCCACACAGACAACAGAATATACACACAGTGTTCTACATCTTGCTTTTTACAGTAATGTATTCTAAAGGACAAATAATAAAACATGCATTGTCATAAAAATTAATGTGCCGAGCACAATGTCTTGCACATGGGTACTCACTGAAGAAGGCATTCTTTCATTTTAAAATTACTAGATATATATTTGCCTTAGGCAGGTGGTATGTATTATGCCTTCCTCTATTCTCTTCCATGGAGCCCTGGCGACCTAGTGGTTAAGAGCTCAGCTGCTAACCACAAGGTCGACAGTTTGAATCCACCAGCCGCTCCTTGGATAAGGTTGCTATGAGTTGGAATAGGGTTTGGATTTTTGTTTGGTTGGTTCTCTTCCAGGGCAACTTTATTTTACATGTGTCAAAACACCCCTGCACAATTGGTGTAGTTCCTTCCAAAATGAAACACATTAACTTTTTCCCCTCACACTGCTGAACTCAAGTTAGCCATAATAGATGATAAGTGAAAATTCCTGAAAATTATGAAAGGTTGCAAATTGGCAGCACTTTAAGCTGTTTGTGGCTACTAGTTGCATTTTTTTCTATCCTGCAGAGTGTAAAAGCATTAATTTTTTTTTTTTTTTTTTTTTAGCCAATGAGCAGGTTTTACATAAAAATCTAGATCTCCAGTTTCTCCTGAAACTCACATCTGGCAGTATTGACTAGCATTCCTCCAGCAAGAAAACAAAAACCCGTCCCCGTCAAGTTGAGGGTGGTTATTCCTTAAGGTTGGTGTGTTCTCTCCAGCTCATCCTCTGGCAGCTTCACTTATTTATGTTACAGGCTTCCCTGTAAGATAGTCAAGGTTGAGATAGATCCCCGAGCAGACTGTTTATTTGGCAGTTTACTAAGTGCAGTGCTTTGTATGTAACATGTTCAGTTGTTGTTTTGAATTATTATTAATGAAGCTTAGAGATGTGAATAGCTTGGCTAAGGTCACAAAGCTAGTAAAATTGAAAGATGGAATGGCTAAAGGGTCCTTCCAGCTCTAATTTTCCATGAGTCTATAGCTTGAGTACAAATGGGAATCAGTGACTAATTTCCTGGAACGGTGGTTTTCACATTTTTTATTCACGTGGCTCCCTCAAATATTTCCAACTTTTTGAGTTGACATGTAAAATTCTTCATCATAATTTTAAAGTTGCTCAGAATACATATTCTGGTTATTGCAAAAATTGACTTTTTAAAATAAAACCATTACATTATGATTTTATGTGTATCAAATGGTATCTGAATATCTTAATGATTTGATAAGCACCATTAGCGATTTTAAAAATATATAATACTTTAACGTTTGAAAATTTTACATTTTCCCTTATATTCCTTGAAATTGAATTTCCATTATACTTCCCCCCAGAATTTTATCTCAATAGATTGTTTTTTTTAATTGTTCATCCTATCATACTTCTCAGCAAAATATATGTTAATAAATTTTTTCTTGTGACTAAGGCTCTAAGTGTTTATAATTTTTTTCTTCTGGAATGAATTTCCATTAAAATTACTACTAGCATCAGATTGGAAACCCTGGTGGTATGGTGGTTAACGGCTGCTGCTGCTAACCAAAAGGTCAGCAGTTCAAATCCACCAGGTGCTTCTTAGAAACTCTATGGGGCAGTTCTGCTCTGTCCTATAGGGTCGCTATGAGTCAGAATCGACTTTACAGCAATGGGTTTTTTTTTAGCATCAAGTTGATAAAAGCAATATAAATATAATTTTTATAAATTATTATACATAAATAACATTTTATTAGAATTGCATCTCTTAATGAGCTGAATGGTGTTAGTTTTTATCAATTAGCATGTATCCGTAGATGAATACATTTGATTTACTGCTAAAATATGACAGGACTCAGCATCAATTTTAGTCTTATTTTTTGTTTTTATAGAAGAGAGCCTTGAAAAACCTGGTTCACATAAGTAAATAGAAATGGAAAGACTTCTGCTATAACAGTGTTGCTCAAGTATATGAACGCTTTCCAAGTTAATAGGACAAAAATCACATTGATCTAATATCAAAATTTATTTTTTTGTTCCTTTATTTTTGTTCAAAGCAAATAATTGAAAATCACCTGACTTGCAAAAGAATACAACCTAGTCATTAAAGACATTCCTTTTCTCAATTTCTGGGAAGTTAACAAAAAAGACTTTACCAGGACTTATTAAATGTTAATTATACTTGTTATTCTTTCACTTGGAGGTCCCTCGTTTAACCCAGAATACTCAAAATGGTTGAGGACATAAAAATACTTCTTATTTCCTTACTGTTTTGCCAATATTTTTAATATATATTGGTGACTTGATTAATCATCAAAGGAATCTTCCCCTCCATTTGGTGCTCTGGGACTTCTGCAAGCAGGTCAGTGCATCAGGAGGAAGATAGTGGTTGGAGTGTCCTTCTGTAGAGAGGGAGAAGAAAAGAGTGCGTATGAAACTTGAGGATCTGGAAATTGAATTCCTTAAAACATCTGAGGTGCCTAGCTATTGGCAAGACTTCCTGTACCTGTATTCCCACTTGAAGGCCATTAGTTTATAGATCTAGGCTTGGTGTCTTTTTTAAGGGTAAATCCTTACAGATTGCTTCTGTGGTCTATTCAGGATCTCTGCAGCATGGTGGTTAAGCACTCGGCTGCTAACCAAAAGGTCAGCGGTTTAAATCCCCCAGCTGCTCCAAGGGGAGAAGATGTGACAATCTACTTCTGTAAAGATTTGTAGCCTTCGAAACCCTTTGGCGCAGTTATAGTCTGTCCTATAGGGTTGCTATGAGTTGGAATCCATTCCACGGCAATGGGTTTTGTTTTGTTTTTAATGGTCTATTCAGGTTTTCTCCCTCCTCTTGATGAGGTGTTGCAGCTTTTATTTCCTTTGCCAATCGTACATTTCATTAAAGTTTTCAAATTTATAAATTCTATATATATTCAAATTTATAAATTTGTACAAATTTAAAAATGTAATAATAATTATACCACTCTCATCCAATTAACCCACTTTTCCCATTCCACAACCATGATGAAATGTTTAGACTGTTTTTCCTTTTCCAGCAGCTCTCCCCATAACTTCTTGGGTTTTGCTGAATTTAGTATTCTTAACACAGGTTATCTCAATAAACCCAAACCCACTGCAGTGAGTCGATTCCGACTCGTAGTAAATCCTATAGGACAGAGTAGAACTACCCCACAGGTATCTAAGGCTGTAAATCTTTACAGAGGCGGACTGCCACATCTTTCTCCCATGGAGCAACTGATAGGTTTGAACTGGTGACCTTTTGGTTAGCAGCCGAGCACTTTAACTACTGCACCACCATATTAATATCTTTATTGCAAATTCACAGTCACAATATTACCATTCTTTTAGATTTAACTGTGTGGATCATAACAAATTATGGTTAACATTGCAAAGAATAGGAATTCTAGAACACTTAATTGTGCTCATGCAGAACCTGTACATAGACCAAAAGGCAGTTAGAACAGAACAAGGGAATACTGCATGATTTAAAATCAGGAAAGGTGTGTGTCAGGGTTGTATCCTGTCACCATACTTATTCAGTCTGTGTTAAAAAAAAACACCAAACCCATTGCCGTCAAGTCCATTCCAACTCACAGTGACCCTATAGGACAGAGTAGAACCACCCCACAGGGTTTCCAAGGGGCCCCTGGTGGATTCGAACTGCCGACCCTTTGATTAACAGCCAAGCTCTTAACCACTGTGCCACCAGGGTGTCCTCAATCTGTATGCTGAGCAAATAATCTGAGAAGCCAGACTGTATGAAGAAGAACATGGCATCAGGATTGGAGGAAGACTAATTAACAACCTGCGATACGCAGATGACACAACTTTGCTTACTGAAAACTAAAGAGAACTCGAAGCACTTACTGATGAAGATCAAAGACTACAGTCTTCAGTATGGATTACACCTTACCATAAAACAAAAATCCTCACAACTGAACCAATAAACAACATCATGATAAACGGAGAAAATATGGAAGTTGTCATGGATTTCATTTTACTTGGATCCACAATCAGTGCCCATGGAAGCAGCAGTCAAGAAATCAAACCACGTATTGCACTGGGCAAATCTGCTGCAAAAGACCTCTTTAAACTGTTAAAAAGCAAAGGTGTCACTTTGAGGACCAAGGGGTGCCTGACCCAAGCCATGGTGTTTTGAGTTGCCTCACATGCATGTGAAAGCTGGACAATGAATAAGGAAGACCAAAGAAGAATTGACGCCTTTGAATTATAGTGTTGGCAAAGAATACTAAATATACCATGGACTGCCAAAAGAACGAACAAATCTGTCTTCGAAGAAGTACAACCAGAATGCTCCTTAGAAGCGAGGACGGCGATACTTTGTTTCACATACTTTGGACATGATATCAGGAGGGATCAGTCCCTGAAGAAGGACATCATGCTTGGTAAAGTAGACAGTCAGCAAGAAAGAGGAAGACCCTTAACAGATGGATTGACACAGTACCTGCAACGATGGGCAGAAACATTGGAACGATTTTGAGGATGGCATAGGACCCGGCAGTGTTACATTCTCTTGTACGTAAGGTCGCTATGAGTAGGAGCTGACTCAGCCGCACCTAACAACAACATATACATATATGCTATGCTCTTCTATTTATATGCCTATGTTAATTAATGCCCATGAAATAAAAGAAGTGTAAGCAACAGATTAATATCCAGGATATACTACAGATCAATGGACAAAGGCAAACAATTCGACACCAAAGTGGGCAAAAAATTTGACAACTCATAGAAGAAATAAAAGGCGACTAGAAACATTAAAAGTTGCCTAACCTCACTAGTCATCAGATAACTGCAAACTAAAGCAATACCCATCCAATTGGCAATTAATTTAGGTTGAAAGTTGGCGCCGGGGAGAAAGGCGCACCGGCCCCAGGCAGGGCCCTGCTTCGCACCTGGGTTTCGTTTGGGATCTAAGTTATTTAATTTCTACAGTGACAGGTTCGTGGGCTTGAGGAACATTCAGTAAACACCTATCGTGGATAGCCGGTATTGACTGTAGACACTTTTACTCTTGAAACAAACCGACAAGATTAATAGTGTTCAAACGGAACGGTAGCTGAATTCATTTGATTCTAACGCCTTTACTTAGAAAGAAAAAGTGGGTGTAAAACTCGTAATACGGACTAATTGTGGAGGAAAGATGGGCAGCAAGGAGAACGTGAGTCTGGAACTACAGGGAAGATGTTTCCCTGCAGGCTTCCGGCTGGGACGGTCGCTCAAAACAGCAGGCTCACGAAGCCGACTGAGCCGGGCGGAGATCCACCCCCAACCTACCCTTCCACGCCGCTAGTTGCTAACCGAGGCAGAGAACGTAAAATGGCGTCCACGAATTCCGTGGGTGTGGCCTCGAGCTGGACTAGTCCAATAGGAATGTTTAGGGGCAAGACGCTTTCCCGAGACGTCTTCTAAATTGGGGCAGAGCTTCCTGCAGTTTGCGCCATTTCATTGGTCAAAAAAAGAATACGGGATTGGGAGAGGCCAATCGCAGTGAGTCTTGGTAGAGCCGTCTCTGTAGCAACGCGGGGAGTCACCTGAGAGTGGCCTGTGCTGTAGGAAGTCCGGTGGTGCTCTTCTGATCCTAGACCTAGGCGGGCTAGGTGAGGCTGTGACACCCAGAGATCAGGGACTGGTTGGCTGCGAAACCCCGTTATCCGCCAGCCCGCGCGTCCGCACCCCGAGCAAACTTCCTGGGCACTCGCCTGGGCCGTCCTCCCTATGCTCCCAGACCACACTGCGTCCTCTTACGAAGCTGTCCCTGCTTCTGCCCCACAGCTGCCAAGTGCCAGATGATGGAGGAGCGTGCCAACCTGATGCACATGATGAAGCTCAGCATCAAGGTCTTGCTCCAGTCTGCCCTGAGCCTGGGCCGCAGCCTGGACGCGGACCATGCCCCCTTGCAACAGTTCTTTGTAGTGATGGAGCATTGCCTCAAACATGGGCTGAAAGGTGAGGCCGAGGGGGCGCTGGGGAGCGTGGAAATGTAGGGTTGGTGTTTGCTCAGCATTTATTCATCAGTGCCAAACGCTTTTCTGGGTGCTGGGATGACAGCAGTGTATAAAGCAGACAAGGCCTCTGCCCTCAAGAAGCTGACTTTCTAGAGCAGCGCTGTCCAATAGAAAAATCAACTGTATGGATCATAACAAATTATCAACATTGCAAAGAATAGGCATTCCAGAACACTTAATTGTGCTCATGGAGAACCTGTACATAGACCAAAAGGCAGTTAGAACAGAACAAGGGAATACTGCATGATTTAAAATCAGGAAAGGTGTGTGTCAGGGTTGCATCCTTTCATCATACTTATTCAATCTGTATTTTAAAAAAAAAAAAAACCAAACCCGTTGCCATCAAGTCGATTCCGACTCATGGTGACCGAATTGGACAGCTGTATATGCAATTTTTAATTTTCTAGTAGCCAAGTTGAAAAAAGCAGGTGAAATTAATTCTAACAATATATTTAATATATCCAAATATCATTTTGACACATAATCAGTATTAAAAAGCCTTATTAGCTGTTTTACATACTTTTTTACACTAAGCCTTAAAATTTTTACACTTAAAGCACATCTTATTTCAGTTTCTCAATTGCACTAGCCACATTTCAAGTGCACATGTGACAAGTGACTGCCTTATAGGACAGCACCGTTCTGGAGGAAGAGACAGTAGATGCAGAAACGAACAATTACAAAATGCTGCAAATCAACGGAAGCAGAATGGGTTACTAATAGAGAATCAAGGAAGGAAACCTTTCAGCTGGGGTGAGAGGAAAGGTCTTTCTAGGGAGGTGAAATGTGAGCTGAGACTCAAAGGAGAAGAAGGAGCCTGCCACACAAGGATTTGGGGCAAGAGCATTCCTAGCAAAAGAAAGAGAAAAGTGCAGAGGTCCTGAGCAGGACCAAGCTTGGTTTGAGGAAGACACCAGATAACTAAGGCAGCTAAGAGGAAGAGTGAGGAGGAGCTGGATCATGGAGGCTTCTATAGGCCATGGTGAGGAGCTGGATTTTATTCTAAGTGTATTTGGAGAGTTTTAAGCAAAGGAGAAATATGACCTGACTTATATTCTTAAAAAAACTTTCTGCCGTGTGGAGAATAGATTTATTAGGGTTGGGAGGTGACAATATTAGGAGCAAGGAGATCAATTAGGAGGTTATTGCAGCAGTTCAGGTGAGAGAAGGTAGTGATGATTTCAAGAAATCAAGCATTGGTTTGGTATCAGGTAGGAGGGAGAAAGGAGTGCCTGGGTGGCACAGACGGTAAAACACTCAACTACTAACCAAAAGGCTGGTGCTTCCAACCCACCCAGAGGCACCTCGGAAGAAAGGCCTGACAATCTGCTTCTGAAAGGTCACAGCTTTGAAAACCCAATGGAGCAGTTCTACGGCAACACGTGAGGTTGCCATGAGTAGGAATCGACTCAACAGCAACTAGTTTTGTTTTTTTTTGGTTTAGAAGGAAGAAGGGAAGGATTTCACAGGTGATCACGAGACACCTGTTTTATTTCATGTACAGTAAGTACTTGGAGAAAGAGCATCGTTGGTATGTCAGAGAAACCCTGTTGCCAGAGGAACGGAGAGCTAACTTGTCACTTGACCTCTTCCAGTCCCCAAGACTAAACCAGAAGGATTAAGCAGTAGAGCTCTGCCGCTTTCACTTGGCTTTTAGGGGAGAGACTGTGGGCCCCTGAAGAAATTCTGTAACCTGTTCTTACAAATAACACTTTTGTTTCCTCTTTTAGTTAAGAAGAGTTTTATTGGCCAAAATAAATCTTTCTTTGGTCCTTTGGAGCTGGTGGAGAAACTTTGTCCAGAAGCATCAGATATAGCCACTAGTGTCAAAAATCTGCCAGAATTAAAGTGAGTGATGTTTGAAAAAACCTCCCTATATTTACCTAGCCCTCAATTCCTTGCTAATACAACATTTTCTAATTTAAAGCGAATTGTAGCATGAGCCAAACCCTACTTAGACTTGAGTCCTAGCTCTGCTGCTCATTAGCCACATGATCTTGAGCAAGATTTGCCTCTCTCTGAGCCTCAGTTTCCTTTTCTTTAAAAAGGGAACAGTGATTCCTGCTTGCCACACAGGACTATCCTGAGGGTCAAATAGGTTGAAAAGGTGGTGTAAACCAAAGAGCAGGTAAAGGATTAAAGGGAGTCATTGTTACACTCCTAGAGTCACTGCTTCAGATATGTCTGGGCAGTTTTCTGAACAGTACAGTTAGGGCCAGATTTTAGATTCCAGGACAAGTGGCATTTGTGACTAGGCTGGGACTAATGAATCATTGCCATGACTGAGTTTGCCACTGGGACTCTGATGCATAGGCTCAAAATTAAAAACACAAATAAGGCATCATCATGGGATCTGGCATTTAGAAGGCGCCCTAGAGAGCCTTAGGGCCATGTGGAAACACTCTTCAGACTCTCCCACAGGAGACTTGACTGTTGAGCCTTTGTTCACTCTTTTCCTATGGAGCCAGCCTATTCCATTTTCAGATAATAACAATAGCCAGTACCATTTATTAAGGGCCGCTACATACCAGGCATTGTGTTAAGGACATTTATTTTCACTATCTCATTTAATCTTCGACAACAATCTTCTAGGATACCTGTTGGTATCCCCATTTACAAGTGTGGAAACTGAGGCTTAGAGTGGTTAAGTAACTAGCAACTTGCCCGGGTCCCTCAGCAAATGAGTGGTGAAGCCAAAAAGAGAACACAGGTCTGTTGGACTCTAAAACCCATGCTGCCAAGCCCTGTGCATTACTTCTGAAGATTGGATTTGAGCCTTCTGTCCCTGTCCCTAGTTCAACCCTTGGGCCACACCAGATAAATTTCAAAACTTTTGCACATGACAGCCTTTCAAATATGTATATGGTGACCTCTTCCATGAGCCCACCCAAGTCTTCTGCCTTGTTTCTTCTGTTCTTTATATGGTGTGATTTCCAGTTGCCTTCCTGTCTGGCTCATTCGCTCAAAAGTAAAGGCCCTAGACAGGGTGTCCAGTGTTTTCTGGTGTGTTCTCATTGGAGTGGAGCAGGGCTAGCCCTCATCCTACACTTTATTTATTCATGGGAGACAATTTTGAAGTCTTGTTGTGCAAACTCAGGGTTCCCAGCCAGCTAAATCCCCTATTTCTGTTTCCTCTTAATCCCGTAGATGCTAAACAGGTAACAGGCTTAAGTAGAGTAAATCCTCCTGGTGTCTGCCAAGGAGGAAATACACGAGGAGTTCCCTTCTCTTGATGCCTCTGCTCTGCAGGAGTAGCCTTGTTGGGGGCTGTGTGGGAAAGGGCTGCTGCTTTATTTCATAATGAGCTGCAGCATTTCTACTGTTTCATTAAGTAGTAATAAAAATTCTGAGATATCTACAGTATTTTAAAAGTTATGACTGGTGTTTTAAGGGGTGTGTTGAGAAATTGTTTTACTCTAAGGCATCTGAAGCTTGCAGAATGAATTTTCTATCACTGGAGGAATCTTTCTAGAGTTTAATTCCCTTGTCTAATTGAGATAAAAATATCTTTTCCACAGTGAGTGGCCTATCACCCACAATTTTTCAATGTTTTCAAGTCATGGTTTATTATTAAACATATCTTTACATGATAAGTACTCATTTCAAATATTGGCGCTTAAATCCAGAGAAGTCTTCTCTGTCTCTTTTTTGAAAATTAAAAATAACTTTCTCTTATTGCCTAATTTTTAATTTGGAAATTTAAAAAAAAAAAGATTATAAAACTTCCATCATCCCACTACCCGGAAAAGAAAAAAACCTGCTATTAATATTTTGGTCAATATCCTCCTAGATTCTTCCAGTGCATATTCAGACGGACAGATAGGTAAGATTCTATTTTTATTTTATTCTCTCCTTCCCCCCAAATGGTATCATATTGCACTGATTCCTATGGAAGACAGTTGAGCACTATCCACCAAAATTACGAATGCACCTACCTTTGACCCAGCAATTCCACTTCTAGGCATTTTAGCCTACAGCTGTAACACATGCAAAATCACATGGGGACAGTTATTTATTGCAGCATTATCTGTAAAAGCAGGAGACTGGAGAACCAGTTAAATGAATTATGATGCATTCCTATAATGAAACACTTTGCAGCAGCGAAAAGTGAAGCTCTCTGTTTACTGTTAAGGAAAGATTTTCAACATGATATAGATATTCAGTGAAATAGGTTGCAGAACAGCATGTATAATAATGTTTTTTGTAAAAAGGAGAGAGGAATAAAAATTTAGATTAGTACATGTTTTCATATGCATAAAAACATTTTGGAAGTGTGTCTTAGTTATCTAGTGCTGCTGTAACAGAAATACCACAAGCAGATGGCCTTAACAAACAGAAATTTATTTTCTCACAGTTTAGGAGGCTAGAAGTCTGAATTCAGAGCGCCGGCTCTAAGGGAGGGCTTTCTGTGTCAGCTCTGGAGGAAAGTCCTCGTCTCTTTGAGCTTCTTCTCCTGGGCAGTCTTCATGTGGCTTAGCATCTCTCTTTCCCCATCTCTGCTATAGCTCAAAAGAGATTGACTTAAGATGCACCCTACACAATCTGGTCTCACTGACGCAACAAAGATGACTCGTTCCCAAATGGGATTATAACCATAGGCGTAGAGGTTAGGATTTACAACATAAATTTATGGGGGGATACAATTCAATCCATAACAAAGTGTACATACCTAAAAACAGTTTATTACTGTATGAAGAAGAGGGAACTGGAAAGGTGGAGGACAGAGTAAAGAGGGAGACTTGCAAATGTATGTTTTCTCCTTTCTGGTTTTTGAACCAAGTGAAGTTAGTACCCACTCAAAAAAAAAATGAAAATAAATTAAGTATTAAGCTGTACATGCTGTTTTGTAGCCCGTTTTTCATTTAATACTAGATTTTAAACTCCTTTCCATATCAAGTATTCACCTACAGTATCATTTTTTAAATGACCAAATACTATTCTGTTGTAGGGCAAATTTGTTTAACCTCCCTTTGGGCTTTGTGACTGTCTTCAAATTCAAGTACTGACAAACAGTGCTGTGGGGAACATCCCAGGCACACATCTTTGTGCGCATCTGAAACTGTTGCCTTAGGCTGTGTCTCTTGATGTAGAATTTTGATGACCCATTGTCATAAATTGCCTTCTAGAAAAGCTGTGCCTGTCTGTGTTTGCCCGCCAGCAGCTGGAGTCAGTGTCATCTTTCACATGATACTAAAGTTAAATCTTTTTCTACTTTACTTCCTCTCCTTTTTACTCTAGTTCAACATCATTTATTTGGAGGGTGGGGTGCATTCCAAAGCCTTTAGAATTAATAAAAGTGGGATAACCCTTATAAGTCTGGCTTCTGAAGTCACCAGGGTGCATTCTGACCCTGTGGCAAGACCTTTGGCCTGACAGCATCTCCTTATAAAGATGATTGAGTACACCATTTTACCTTTAAGACGTTCTTGGATGCCACAAATGCAGTTCTTCTGTTAGATCAGAATTTTTTTTATTTTTTTCTTAAAAGAGTTTTAGGTCTACTATTAGGAGGCTGTTTTTTCCCTTAAAAGCAGAAAAATGGGCTTTTTCAAAATTACATCTTCAAGCTAATGCCTTAGAAATTTTATGAGACTTTAACACTTTAACAAGCACTGTGTTCTAAATTAGTCTTTTGAATATGCACAAATTGTATTTGTTTCAGAAATCAGATTTTTGTGGTTTAAGATTTTTTCCTTTTATAGTGGAAAAAAAAAGTACATGGTACAAAATTTGGACAGTACTCCTACTTCCCTCTACTCTCCCCGTCACCCCCCTCCCCTCGACAGGCAGCTAGTCTCACAGTGTGTGCTCTGCATTCAGAAGCGTGTATATATGTGGACATGTATATCTTCCTGGCTAAATTGAGAGTTTTTCCCTTTGGCTTTTTTGTTTTTTGTCATGCTACAATAGTTTGATGATCTGATTTAATTCTAGGACAGCTGTGGGAAGAGGAAGAGCTTGGCTTTATCTTGCACTCATGCAAAAGAAACTGGCTGATTATCTGAAAGTGCTTATAGACAATAAACATCTCTTAAGGTATTTTACCACCTATCTTTGCATACAATAGCTTTGTAAATAATTGGAAAATAGCTCTTTAGATCATTTTGAATTAAGAGTATGTAATGTTTGCAACTTTTATGCAAATTCTTAATCTTACATATTCTATGGTTTAATTTTAAAATAGTAGTATTTCTTTCATTTTTTGAGCACTGTTATCTGAAAGTTATTATGGATGAAGATTCATGTGACTTTTCAGAATGAAAAGTCATTTTGAAGATAATTCTTCGAAAGTATCAATACCTAGTATTAGGTAGGAGTCCCTGGGTGGTACAGATGGTTAATACACTAGGCTGCTAACTAAAAGGTTGGAGGTTTGAGTCCACCCAGAGACACCTCAAAAGAAAGGCCTGGCAATCTACTTCCAAAAAAATCAGCCATTGAAAAAACCCTGTAGAGCATAGTTCTACTCTGACACACATGGGGTCACCATGAATCGGAATTGACTCAATGGCAACTAACAACAACAACTGACAGCCTAGTCATTAAGTTTCAAAGAAATGGTATTTATTAAATTGGAGAATATTAACTGGAAAAAATTACTTTAGAACTAGGTGCAGTGGACAATTTTAAGGTATAAAACCCTGCTCTTTGTAAGAGAACATACCCATGTTACCCAATTTAGGATTCCATATCCAGTTTGTAAAATGTTATATCACTTAATGTCAGTAAAAACTTAAACAGGCTAACACTGAAATTTATGGCTGGTTAATCTTTGATATTTATAACTATGTAAGTGAATATAATTATAAAAGTAATTTTCTCTAGAATATGAAAATTTACAGGAAGGAATCAGTCTAACTGAGATAAAAATAACTTTACAGTATGGGCTATCACCCACAAATTTTCATTGTTTTCAAGTCATGGATTATTATCAAATATATCTTTGTAGAATGAATACCAATTTCAAATATTTCATATGTTCAGTGCTTTGAGTCTAGTTATACTGAATAATGTTGAGTTACAGATTTTGTTGTAATGAGCTAATTCTTAAGACAGTAAGTTCTTATATATGTGCATGCGTGCACACACGCACACACACACATGCACACACACACTGGCCTTAGTGCCACTGAGTTTGGTAAACTAACAAATCATTCGTGACCAGAAGCAGTAACAGAGGGGCTGGAGCCACATTGCAAATGGCTGAATGACTGAAAGGTAAGGAAGTAAAAGCAGCAAATGTTGCTCAGCGGGACACAGGAAGGTGGAAGAGTTTTATTCTTGGATATGAGGAGGCTATGGGTTCCCCATTCCTGTTTAGGTGAGTGGAAGTGTAGTAGCTCTTATCATCAGAAGAAATGAGCCAGTAGAGACACAGGAGGGAGAGTGATGGTCAAGAACTCTAGAGCGAAGAGGAGATGGAAAGGACTAGAGTCCAAGGTCCAAATGGAGGAGTTAATTTTAGACAGGAGGAGGGAGGAGCCCATTCTAAGCCACAACAAGAAAGAAGATAAGAAGAAATGACAGCCCTGAAGTGGTAAAGGGAAGTGAAAGTAAGGAAAGAAGCTCACACAGAGAAGCTTGGCCATCAGCTAAGAGTTGAAAAGGCTAGGCATGTTGGGATGAAGAAGAGTGGTAAGGGATGGTGAGGGAATTTCTGAGCAGCTCCCCTGTCATGTCCATCTCTTTTAGTGAGTTCTATGAGCCTGAGGCATTAATGATGGAGGAGGAAGGGACGGTGATTGTCGGTCTGCTGGTGGGACTCAATGTACTTGATGCCAATCTCTGCTTAAAAGGAGAAGACTTGGATTCTCAGGTAAAACTGAATTTTGGCTCTAGATGGGATACCTTCATCAGGCCATGGCTTTTAGGTAGTATCTGCAGACACTTACTGAACCTGAGAAATGGGCAGGTGGCAAAGGACCCTCTGATAGAGTGACTGTGCAAGGTGCTGTGCTGGGGCAGAGGGACAGTGACTGGGAAAGGTCCCTGGGAGGAAGAGGTGTTAGAGCTGTACCATGAAAGCAGACAGCTCAAGGAAGGGTGAAGAAGTAGCAGGGGCAAAGGCACAGAGGTACACACAGAAAGCACAAACAGGTAGACAGTTCTCCAGGGCTGGAAAGTAGGGTGCTTAATGAGTGAGGTGAACGTGGAGGCTAGGGCCAGTTGTCAGAGCTAAATGCCGTGCTGAAGGGCTTAGACTTTATTTCTAGGGCTTTGGAAAGTTGTTAGACGGTTTTAAGCAGTCTGATCAGCCTGAGTTTGAGAAAGATCACTCTAGCGGCTATTCACGTCATGAGTTAGAAGTGGCCGAGAATAGAGGCAGCAAAAACATGGAGGAGACCAGTCTAGAAGTCCCAAAAGGTAGTACATGAGGATGGTGAGTAGGAAGATAAAGTCAGGAGAGATGTGCGAAGTGAGGGTAATAAAAAGGGGCGCAAAGAAGGTAAGCCATAAAGGGTAGACTGCCTTGTGGGGGTACAGTCTTACCATCTCTCAGGATGGGCTTTCTTCCTGCCTGGGAGCTGCTGACCAGGGCTGAGGCCTAAACTCGTGATAGCAGGGACTGCAGATGTCTGAGGGGAACAAAAGCACTGACCCATTCCCCACCCTACCCGCTGCCCAGCCTTCTCCCACCATGTTTGGATCTGAAGAATGTAAAGCTTTCCCAACTTCTCCATGCCTGGGTCAACTTTTTTTAATAACGTGTCCACCGTGCCCCCTTTAAAAAAAAAAAAAAAAAACTAAAAAGGAACAGTGTGTGTATGTGTGTGTGTGTGTGTTTATTTATGTATTTTAGAAAGAAATGTTTGGAGTTTTTTTATTAAACCCAAATATTATTCTAAATACACCATTTTTCATTTTCCTTAAAATTTAACAATATGTTCCACATACCTCTCTGTCCAGTAGTGAAGTGTAAACTATTTTAAATGGCTACATAGTATCCATTTTATGAATGTACCATAATTTATTTAACAGAACCTTATTAATTTAGGTTATTTCCCTATTATAACAAGTCTTATAAACATCCTTATACCTCTTTGTACTCTTGTCCTCCCCCTGCCCCCACCTTAGAGTAAATTTTGATTTTTCTTGCTTGCTTTTTCTGTTATTGATTTCTGCTTTTATGGCTTTATGGTCAGAAATGATGCTTTGTAATATTTCAGTACTTTGAATTCTGTTAAGCCTTGCTTTGTGGCCTAATATGTGGTCTATTCTGGAGAATGTTCCATGTGTGTTGGAAAAGAAAGTATACTTGGCTGCTGTTGGGTGGAGTGTTTGGTAT